AGAACACATTCAAATTTCGATCTATATGAAAAATCAAGTCAAAGTGGAAAAACTTACCACAAATCAACTCCTAAGGTCCCTAAGAGTGATCTTCAAGCATCCAAGCAAGCCAAACAAGTCTCCAAGCTCAAAAACTCTCAAAATTTCGTCACTTTCTCAAGGGATGATGACTATGGTTTTTGGCTAAGTCTCAAGGAAGGAAAGTTGATCACAAGGTGGAGAGGAACAACTTTCATGTTGGAAGTTAAGATTAAAAGTGAGTGTGGCTCCAAGTATGGTTCCAAGCCTTCCTCCAATGGAGTTTTCTTCTTCTCTTGGTTTTGGTAGCAAGAGACCCACGAAGATGACCAGTTTTTTGTGTCTAAATGATGCTTCTAATTCACTAAAGTGAGGTCTAACAAGTGGTCAAGTGTTTCCCTAGTAAAAAGACTAAATTGCCCTTCATTAAAGTCTATTATTTTACATTGTTATTCTTCCACTTAAACTTCGACTAATCCATGAATTAATCATCAAATCAAAAATTCAACATTCTCCAATGTCTATTGTTAGTCTTTTAACAAATGAATCTCAAGTTTTTCGGTACACCAAATGCTTCAACATTCAACAGTGCACGTTTCCCCAAAAACCACCAAAATCTCCAAATTTTTCTTCTTAATCCAATCTCATCTTTTTATGAACATAGGTGGGTACCGGATTAGCCGAAAACCAGGAAGTTATGTAAAATTACCATTTTACCCCCAATGGGGATTTTAACCCGTAATTTAGGATTTTCACTATATAGTTCCTCTGAACCATAATTAAACTATTAATCAACTTACAATCTCACAATTCACAGGTTTAACTTTCATACACCTCAATCACTTAGTTGTCATTATATGTTTTCCAACACCGCTATAGCAGATTATAAAAACGTTGCCGTAGGTTTCATTGTTTATCAACATTCACATATGTGGGTTGTGATAGGTACCTTGGAAGATTCTAGACTTTGCTGGAATTGGGAGAGAACTAGAGCCTCTCCAATTGCTCTGGGTTTCTGTTCTTCACTGTTTCTTTCTGTTTCCTGTTTTCTCTTTCCATTTTCCTTCTTAGATTTAAGCCAATTTCCTCACTATATTGTACTGAGTTGCTGAATTGAACTAATACATAAGCCTCTAGGGGGCGTTTGGTTGAGGAGAAATTTTTTGAATACTAGGGAAATGCAATTACTAGAGAAATGGTTGAAAAGTGAGTTTGGTAGAAAAGTTAAAAAAAAGTTGTTTGATTGGACAAAATTTTACCGGGGAAATTGAGTAAATTTTTTGAATGTGTGTTTGGTTGAAGTTAAAATATTGATGGGTAAATTTAGTTAAATTACCAAATAACCCTTATTTGAAACAACCCTTTATTGAACAAGCTTATTGACCCAACAACAATATCCACATCGTCTTTCCCTGTTTATGTTTGGCATCTCTGTCTCTCAGCGACAATATCCAACGGCAATATATACGATGATGGCAGTCATGATGTGCACCCATTCATTTGTGTTGTTATTCTATGCTGCTGCCATTGTTCACAGTGTGACTCTTTTTGGATGATGTAAATACCACAAAGTTGATATATTACACTAAGCATGTATAGTGTCATCAGACAAGCATGCCTTACTCTTGTCTCTATTTTTTGTAATTGCAGTGATGTACACACTCCTAACAACGGATATTTTACACAATGATAAAGTGGTTTTTTAATGGTTTTGTAAATTTCTGAGGATGACCTCCTCTAGTTATATAATGCATGTAATGGTTCACAAAACTCATTTTGCCCTTGATCAGAATATGATGAATATTGATGCATGAATCATGCTTCCATGATTGAATTATCTGTTTACTTTTTTCTATCCCGAAAGTTTGTGATCTAAAGTAGCCTGCTGATACTTTCACTTAAAATCTCTTTCCCATTACTATGACCTTTTTTTTTTATTCTGTTTCTAAAAAAGGTTTTTATTAACTGAAAACAAATTAAGCCCAAATGTGCTACGAGGGAAATATATTGCTTTTATTTCCTCTATCATACTGGCTTTATAATGATAAATTGAATAATTTATAATAAACATGATGCCCAATCATGGCTTTATTATGTTGCATTATTATAAACCAGTATGTCCTTCACCAGTCACCACATAGTGGCGAGGCGAAAGATGTTGAATATTGTCCACCATTATGGTTGGATTATGAGTCAAGACACAACCATTTAAAACCATATTTACACTAGTATTAAATTTTCTTGGATTTTAGTTATTTTTTGTTATAACCTGCCACGACTTCAAGAAGATGAAAAGATCAACATTCTGGTTAAAGTTTAAGTTCGGTTCATTCTTCCCACAACTTTAAATTCAACTCCTCATAATCAAGGTTGAAGTTTCCCTACTTCGCAAAAATTATTGATACACATTTTGCAATGTTCAAAATCAAAAGACAACCAATGGGATCGATTTGATCGAAAAATACTGTCTACTGATATGCTAATTTCCATATCTTAACACCACCCAACCGTGTTCAAGGAAAAACCATTGGGATCGACTCAAATATGTTACAGCAATTTAAACCTAAGCCGACATAATTTATAGTTGCAGTTACATAATATTTTGAAATATAATGCCCATTATTGAACGGGCAGTACAAATAGATCCTAAGCTTGCTGCAAGGATGCCAAATAGTTTTTGTGCCAGAGGGACCGCCCTAAAATGGCACTTCCGTGTACTGAGAACATAAAGCTTATAACCTGGCAATGTAAACAAGGATCTGTCAGAAATACTCAAGAACCCAATATGCTCGTGCACGTCTCTGTCTCCCAAATTTAAAAAGGAAGAGGGGAAAATTACTTATCAACATCAGGCATTGCCAGGGGATCATACAACTCCTCCCTTTATTCCATGGTAGGCATAGACATAGCTGACATGTCTTGAGCCCCTTCAACCTAAAAATAAACAATCCATGTGAATGAGTAGCCCAATAAAGTTATTATCTGCAATTGGAACCAATATGTAAACAAAATTTGAAATTAGATAACTTACCTGTTGGGGGTATTGTGCATAGCCAGGATATGCCCCATATGCATACAAAGAAGGATCTTGAGTAGCCCCATAAGCATAGGCCTCATAACCCTGTCCATACCCATAATAGGCACTCCATTGACTTGGATCCATCTGTCCCCAACCACCAGGTAAGTCCTAGAACAATTTGGGCACAAAATTATGTTAGTGCAAATATAATACTCCACACATGAGCTACTTACTTACTTAGCTAATAAGAGATATTAAACTCATTCATATATAACATTGAATAATAGTAACATTTAGATAAAAACTATTTAGATGGAAGTTCGTAGTTGTCACAAGAGAGGTCCATATTACTATTGCTAATGTTCATAAAATAGGCAATAAATATGCCCTAAAATATGCCCTAAAATAGGCAATTGATGACTTTTAAATATGCCCTAAAATATCTGAAAATAATACTTACAAGCTCCAAACAGAATCGAAACAATGCTTATTTCCAATGAAATCATCAAGGGAGGAAAACAAAAAAGCAATTAATTTGTACTGTTCTTCTTCTCCCAGGAAATGGTCTCTTCATCCATTATCAATAACTTGAATACGTCTCTTTTCACAATTACAATCGGTATAACAGATAACCCCAAGCATTAATTACCATATCAATTTTAGCAAACACTGGAAAGAAAGATGAAATCAGACAGAAAAACGACAATAGGAGAAACAAAGCACTTCACCGACAAATACTGAGTATCTCCATTCTCCAACGATTCAAATAAATAGAACAACGAACAAACTATCTATTTGAATCTCAATGAGAAACGGGAAGCAGTAGTAGACATATAAATTTGAAATGAATCAGATCTTAATTGTTAATGAAGCCCAAAGCCTACAACTACCTTTCTTGTAGTTGATCAAGAAAAGGAACAAGCCCAAAGCTATTTTATTAATTAATCCTAGATGTACTTATGTGAATTAACGACTTAAAACAAATTTGTTTACCACAAAAAAAAAATCATATCACATGTCAGTAGGCTTCAGCAAAGATAAACACAGAGCATGTGACCAAGGGGTGTGTCTATACTAACCGTTCAAGTTTAACCTGGCGTCGGCAAACAAAGAGGACCCTATCTTTCCACGTTGGATGCACCGGACCAAATCAACCGGAGATACCAACCAGTAACTTCTCAGCCGCGGTAGATCTACTTCATCGGACCATTACCTGACCTCCCATCTTTGAGCATGTGGCTTTCTTCGCTCTTTCTTCTTCGGTCGGTGTTGGTCTCCAGTTTTTGGGTTTCTTCAGCTTTCACATGTGATGGGTGCTGGATGAGTGATGTATCATTTTGGGCAAAAGTTGGTCACGTGTGAAGGGCAAATTCGTCACCGAGATATACCACTTTTTCACTTCTCCGGATTTCAGCCAGAATATGACCCTCCAAGAAGCAATCCAGAACAGTGCTTTGGAGGAGAAATCACATGCAATTGGCGAATGATGGGGAACACCGAAACATGGATATATTTCATGAATCCAGCGAACCAAACGTGGAGTTCTGAGAATCCACGAATCACTTCCCCAGGAAACTTGACCAAACTCCCGAAACAAACGCCCCCTAGAAGTGTTTTACTTAATTTTTTTCTGATTACTGTTACTATTACATATCAAAGTCAAAGGAGCATTCTGCCCTGGAGGAGTACTCTAGGTTTATTAGTAGAATACTCTGCCAAGAGGAGTATTCTTGGATTGTTCTACATCACTAAGCATTTAGTGTAAAACCATCTGGTGCTTTGTATGACAAGTGTTGAATATTTATTTAGTGCTTCTGCTTTCATCTTGTAGACACATTGAGTCCTTTTCATGGAGTTTATTTTGCAGCCCATTATCTTTATCTGCTTCCCGATATAAATTGCTGATTTATCTTGGAAATGGTGATTGACTCATGTTCTCGATCAACTTGTTTGTTGGCAATAGGTAAAAGGCGAACAAGCAAACAAGGTCTTAAAGATGATTCATGCAAACGTGATTTACATGTAAGGAATTTTTTTTATTTTTTTTATTTTTTTTATTTTTTTATGAAACTGAAGAAACATACCTCAATTCTAGGAACTTGATCAATCCACCTGGAAGAATTTTTTATGGAGTTGAACCTAATTTTAGCACGAAGCTATATGATTTGCTCGCCTGGATATTATATAAATCTTCAAAAAAAAAAAAAAAAAAAAAAGAAAGAAAAAAGGGAAAGCTGAGCTACATAGAAGACTTGTAAAACTGGATTTACAACCAAATTTTAATTTAGAAAACCAACTTTACCATTTTAATCTGAGTACATTTTAGACTTTATGCAATCTAACAACAAATATATATATGGACTTATCGTTTCTCAAGCTGCTTGAGATAATTTTATCTCCCGCTACTAAATCATAACCGTACAAAGATAGATCAGCGGTGATAAAAGAAGAGAGAGAAAAAGGGAATCATAACCATTCAAAGGTGAATCAATGAATATAAGGAAATAAATAAACAAAACAACATAGTTTTGGGGTGGCTGGAGATAAACTTATTTCAAGTTGTCGGAGAAATATTTTTTCCTATATATATCCTTATCTAATTAGTGGCTGTGTACATTTTCAGACCGATCAACCAAGAAATATCTAGATTCGTTAATTTTAAAATGTTTTTATTTGTCTTTATCACTTCATCCTGCTATTTATTACCTTTCAGTTTTCTGCTAGTGCATTGTTGGCCTTGTTTGTCCAATGTTCTATGTATTCTTCTACTGCTCATGCTTTTAGAGTTTCATCCGGATTTTTTATTCTACGTTTGTCACCTTTTGGATGGTATAGCCTTCCTGTCATGTGGTTTTGGATCTTCACCTCATACTCTTTATTGAGGGTTAGCCTTTCAGCTGTGTTCTTTTTCTTTTTCTTCATCCTGAAGCTTATACTTCTTTATAGCAATCTCTTTCTAATAAAAATTATTGAAGACATTTCTGTCCCACCGGTCATAGTGCTTGGTGTTGGATTTTGTGTATAAAATTTCCGTCTTGAAGAGGTATGTGACACCCTCCCCTGTACGCGTCCAAGGGAGTTGTCTGCTAAGCGGATTAGAGTCGTAACGAATTTTAAATAATTATAGAACTATGTTTTCAAGTTACTAATTCACTTATATGACTGAAATCTGGTGGTTTACTGAAATCAGAGTGCGACTTTACAAAATATATGAGTTGCTGAAATAATAATTTTCCTGCGAAACCTTGCTGCCTTATAAAAATGGTATAAATTCGAGTTCAACAGCTTAAAAAATATTCTTTGATACAAGGAAACTAGACACTCGGGCTTTACGTGCATATAAAAATCATTTCATTCGGAGGTGTCTAGCTCCCGAAACAGAACTCGCAAGGTGAAAGATAAATCAGTGAAAATGTTCCAAAACTACCTGACTTGCAAAAATCATAAAAATCCGTGTTTACATAATTTCATTGTAAAGTTTATATAATCTGAAACTAGACACTTGGGGCTACGCGTGCATATAAATTATAGGTAAATCGGAGATCTGTAGCCCCAGAAGTGGAACTCGCAAGGTGCTCGCAAAAACAGTTTATAAATCAGCATTTAAAACGTTCATGAATTGTTTTTGTAAAATATAACCAAAATAGTGCAAGTTAAGTGCTGACCATAAAGTCTCAGAATACACCAATTTAAGACAGGTTCTGACATTTTTCCAATATCACAAAATGTTAAATCAACATCTTTAATCAGTCAACCGCTAGTAGAAACAGTGGACAACAGCATAATTTCCAAAGCAGCAGCAAATAAGCAGAACATGTCCAAATCAAATGCTTCATAAAAAAAATCCTTTTTCGTCTCCCTGCAATTTATAAAAATTGAGCCCCAAAAGGGGTGAGAAAGAATCCCAGTAGTGTGATAGTAAAACCAGTATTGCCACAATATTAAACTAGGTACAAAATTCCAAAACAGTCGCATCAACATATAGTTCCGAACAGATGCTAACACATACTCATAGCGCGTATATAACGTCAAGGTACTAATCATGATGCGTATATAACGCCATGTCATCATAGTGCGTATATAACGCCATGGTAATGTACGCTCATAGCACTGCAGTGCACGTACTAACATACACAGTGGAGATTCCATATTGGCTCCCTCAGAGGTGAATTCCAACTGTGACCTATGCGGACGGAAGCCAAGTGTCCCATACCCTGGTACCGGAGGGATGCCTATATGATGTGTGCTCATTCATATGCTTACTTATATTATAATTCGGTTTCCAAACTGGATGCACAATGCTGTATGCCATGATATGCTTCGCACACACAAAAGAAACAGATGAATTATGATGTATTTATGCATGACTAGATCATCATCATAATAGCATTTACTTCATGTACTTTCAATACCAAACTGCCGCATAACAATTACTTCTCATAATAGAAGTTCCATCATATCAAGTCCATAGGCAGAATACATATAACATTTAACAGAGTACGCATCCAAGGCACATGTGAGCAACAATTCACAATTCCATACACTAGCTAATAGTCACAATAGGTCTCACCACCGAACACTTAACCGTGTGTACCATCTTTTAATCCAAGATCACCAAACCGTTCCACATTTTAAGTTCTTGCGCACCTAACAATTATATGTACCAAATCAGGATTTATGATATAATTTTCCTATACATTACATAGTATTCCCCTTGTCCTAAATCCTAGTTCTACAATCGGTTTCGAAGTTCATATACCAAACACATATTCTGCCACATTCTTAAATTACCAATTGTCCTCAAGTGACAAGTCCAAAATGTCATACATATGCATGTTCGGTTTTTTAATCATCACTAGGTGCTTATGATTTTCATTTAACAAAACACTACCTTCATCACTTATACATAAGTTAATTTGATTATTTAACATGTTGTCTTCATGAGTTATTAACACATGCAATGCTTGAATCAAATCGGGTTTCATGGTTCTTGCACTAATTTAATTATTTTGACTTAGGGCTTATTTCTCCTCTAGATCATAAGGGACATAATCATGATCTTTCATGCATGTAAGTTCGGTTTTCATTAACAGCTAGGTGCCACAAATTCATCATTCACATGTCATTATCTATAAGGTCTAGAGTGCATTCAAGAGGCATAAAGCATGCTGTTAAAACGATCTAATTCATATATATAAGGCATGATGCAGCAACATATTTCAACAAGGAAATTTATAGTCCAAGCTAAAGGAATGATTCTTTGTCGTGTAACCACAAGACCCCATCAGTTCCAACATGGCAGAATTAATAGAATTAAAAGGACACAAAGCTACCCCCTTAATTACACATATAAATCCGAATTTTGGCCAGAAACTAAAGAGAAATAATTTATCTATTTACAAGGTAATTTCTACTAGGCTTGAATGTGAGGGAACAAGGTCTTAGGCAAACGGTTCATGCAGTCTTAATTCATACCAAGTTTAACCAATTACTCCAACCCACACAGAACCGGTTTACATTCAAAAAAAACGTTTAGGACCTTTATTCACATTTTCAATCCTACAACTTACGGTGCGCTAAAAAGGACCTAAGACAAGTTGTCCAATTAATTTCATTCGAGTAAAGCTAGATACAGCAGCATATGCGCGTTATTTTCCAAGTTCCCCTTAATTAAATAACACAGTTTGCATGCTTTACTACCAACAGTTTACGGCTGAGCAGCAATGAAATTGGATGGCAAAACTAACTTCCTAAGACAGTTATGCAGGCCGAACAAGGTGGGAAAGAATGACAGAACAAAACCAAAAACCACATCGGCATGAATACAGCAGACGCACCATTCAGGGAATAAAGAAAAAACTAGAGCTTGGATTTACCTTCTTGACTACACACCAAGGATTCCAATCGAGCAAAAGGGACAGCCCTCTACGTTCTCCTAAATTCCAAGAGTCCGAATCCAGTTGCATGCAAGGGGAAAGATGGGCTCAGGTATGGCTGGTTCAAGAACATGTAACGGAAGGAAAAACAAACTCAATCAGACCAATCGAGTAGAAGGGAGACAAGAAAGGAGATGAACATCCTACCTCCTTGCTTGTGGTGTTCAGCCGAATAGGAAAAAGGAGACAGATGTTTCCTCCTTGCTCCTGCGCACACGACCTAGTCATGAGAAGAGATGAAACTGTAAGTTAGAAGATGACTCTGCCCCTAATAGAGATCACAGTTTTTAAGAAAGGATGAGGATAGGATAGTGTTTCTGATTTTTTGTTAGATGATGCACAACTGATTTTTCTGTTTTGTTCTCGGTCCTACGCATAAGGAGATGGTGAGGATGATGACCAGCTTTCCTTTTTTTTTTTTTCTTTCACGGTTCAAGGAAATGTGTGGGGAATCAGTTTGAGCTATGGAGAAGTCGATTCCTTGTTCAAGAGAGGCATTTAGCCGTGACATAGCATGAAGGACCAAAGTTGTAACATCCCGGGCGCTGACGAGGGCGGGGAGTGATCGCCGGTGCGAAAGGGCATGGACAAGGAGCGGCTCCTGGCAGGCTTCTAGGGACGGGGGTACATGAATGAATCGAATCAACACTCGAAAGAGAGGGATTCCAGAGACTGTGTTGGTATGGGACGGTACAGTTGGGAATGACTTATAAGAATTAATTGGTACTACCTATACTAACAAGATGCATCTTCTTTTCGGTAGCCCAGAACGGAAGAACTCCATAGTTAAGCGTGCTTGACTTGGAGCAATTCTGGGATGGGTGACCTCCTGGGAAGTTTTCCCGGGAAGTGTGCGAGTGAGGACAAAGCACGCTGAAAAGTCTCGTGTTAGTGTGTGGGGACAGTCGTTAATCCTTGCAAGTTGCCAGGCGTTACAAAAGTGTTTTCTTAGCTTAGTTGTCGCACATGCAAGAGGGGAGAGGAGATTTGTTTGCCACATACTAAACATGCATTGGCTGATTTGGTTTGATTGATAACATGAAATCAGAATTCTTCCTCTATACTATGCGCATGGAGGAGAGTGCAAGGATAAAATGGGATTTGGGCTACTTGATTTACATTATGGCCCTTGGGCCGAGTACATTAAAACCCATTGGTTCTATAAAATTAATTTCCTAAGGGTTCATTTATCTCACTTCATATGGTAATAGCTATTCTATATTTTATATCCACTAGGTAACAACTAGGATTTTTTACCTAATTTGTACCTACAATTAATCCCATCCTCTTAACTAGAATTTCAATTTCTTGAAACACATACTCACAGATAATCATAGTTAACATAATTTTTCATGATTTGAATTAAGTCCACCCAAAATATATATATATATATATATATATATATATATATATATATAAGTATTTATATTACGAATATTACGAGTTCAAGGCAAGCTTCCATGTTCCTAACTAAATAATATGGCTTCCTAACTTCGCGGGATGTAACAAGGTAATTAGCTTTCCTCAAATTGATCTCTGCATGTTGTTGCTCTATCCTCTCCATCCTTTTTTCTGTATAATCTAGGGGTGTAGTAGAAGACTGAATTTGGTTCCTTTTCCTCAACCCACGTATTTATTGTCCACTGTGTTTATTCTGTTGCAGCTCTTGGCATCCGAATCAATTCGAATGGCTACTGGTGACATCAGTGATAAACTGAAAAGTAGTTCTGACTATGTTCTGCCCAGACAAGATGAAAAAGGAGAGCAATATGAGAAAAATAGGCTTTCTGATGTTGAGCAGCTGGTGAAAGGAAAAAAATTATCTAGGTAAATAAATTTAATTTATAATAATAGTGCTTTTTCTCTACCCTTGCTTTGATGACGCATTTCATAATTCTATAATTAAAGTTTTTCCTGTTGTGGATCAAATTATTCATCCCAATTGCTTGGAGCTCACTCGAGGCCTCAAGGGGCCTGTAATTTTGGAGTCCAATTTTTATTGAGATTAACCCTGTTTTTAATCCCAATGCTACTTGACAGTGTTGGTTGCTTTGCTGTAAAGTGAAATGTTTTTATTGCCATTGTTATATTTTTATTATTTTATTTTTTTCCTCACGTGGCTGTGGGAATGGTTTAGAGCACGAAAACATGTCTCTTTTGGATATTGTTGGTATGATATTTGCAAATGTTAGAAAAGTCAAATATAAAACTATTAACGTGGCCCTCACTCAACTACTTGAGCTTTTATGTGAGATGATTGCTTATCATGGTATTAGAGCCGGTGACCAAGTGGTCACGAGTTCTATCTTCACCATCTCCGATTATATTAATAAATAATTAAATATTGTGGAGTTTCTTAACACAGGTAAGTGAGTTTGTATGTTGTCTACCATTCAAGCCCAATGTAAGGGGGCGTATTAAAGAAGTTTAATATACAACCATTAAAATGAGTCTTACTTAACAACTTGAGCTTTTAGGTGAGATGGTTGCTTATCGACAAACATGTCTCCTATCTGGTTAAGCTAGGGCTAGAAACGATTTGAGCCAAGCCTATGTCAGGTTTGGCATTATCAAACTAATATTGAGCCTTTTATTGTTTAAGCCTTTATGGCCCAATGCTTTAGGTTCAAATTTGTGAATAAATAAAATCTATTTTTTCACAAATAATAGTTAGACAAAAAAATGCTAATATATATTAAATTAATACAATGTTATTATACACACACACACGTCAAGCTAAGTCACGATTTAATGAGTCAAAGATGTGAAAGCTCTAGTTTGGCTCATTTAACAAACATGCCAAAATTTTCATTTCATTGAGTTATTGATGAATCGAGCTATGAATAGGAAGAAGAGGTGACTTAACTTATTTCCATACATAGGTGAAGTTGGGTGCTAATGCTGTTTAGAAAACTGATACAATTCAGATAAAGACCTTCAAGAGGGACACTAACCGAAAGGTGTGGAATGAAGGGAATCCAGCCCAAGAGACTCAAGCCCAATTGGCTCAACTTAGCTATTCAGAGACTGCCACGTCATTACAAGAGTTCCCATTATTGCCCCTTAACAGAATGGCACACAACGTGGGGGTCTGAGAGTTCGTTATAAGGAGAGGAGGAAAAGCATAGAGGGGATAGGAAGAATCTAGACAGTGCTTGGGCCCTTTTTGGGATAGGAGAGCGTGTGACCTCTACAATTGTCTCACATCATCACTTTTCTTTTACGTTGCTATTTTCCAGTTATTTGATTACTGTAATGACTTTAATTCAGCAATTTATCTTTTCAGTAGAATGTTCAGTGTAGTTGTAATTGACGTTAATTCAATATATGAAAAAATCTGAATTATTCAGGCCAAAAACATCTTGTTCATTGTGGTTATTTGTAATCTGAGTGGAAGTTTGTAACAATTGGTATCAGAGCTCCGATCTAGGAGCTCTGTGGTATGGTCTTGACGAGAAGAATGGAAAACCGATTAGAAGTTTTGGAGGAAGGACTGCGCAGGAACAACGTGAGACAAGAGGAGGTGATTCGACGGATGGAAGCAAATGAGGTGGGAATAACAGAAATTATCAGGAGATTGGATGAAATGGAAGGAAGGGGGAGTAGATCCAGTGATGGAGAGAATGAGTTTGAAGATGACATAACAGAACCACGGAGAGGTAGAAACGTGAGACGGTTTAATCCCAATCCATCTGTGACTCGACGATTGGAGATACCAATTTTCTCCGGTGAAGATGCGATGGGATGGCTAAGCAAAGTTGAGCGTTACTTTGTGGTAAATGGCATCAACGATGCAGAGAAGTTTAACGCATTATTGGTGGTTTTAGACGGAGAAGCTTTAAACTGGTTTCAATGGTGGGAGGTGAGTAACCAAAACACCACCTGGGCATTTTTTCGACGGGAATTATTGAGTCGATTCCAACCAGAAGCGTTGGATAATCCTTACAGGGCTTTATACACCCTCAAACAGAAGGGAAACGTTGCTGAATTTCAGACGGAGTTCGAAAAAATTGTGGCTGCTTTACGGTTTGAGGATGAAGACTTGCTTAAAGGTGCATGGTTGAACGGAGTCCGCAGCAGCATCCGTGAAGAACTGTTGATGTCTCCAACGCTCAGTCTGATGGACATGGTGAAATACTCCATGAAAATCGAACGGAGGAACGACGCATGGAGGGAGGAAGGTCTGGGACCTATTGGCAGAAATTGGGCTCAAAATGTCTCCAGACAGACTATGGGCGAACGATTTGGTTCTGGCCCATCCGGAAGCAAAAGGTGGAATACTGTTAATATGGGCCAAGGGCAAGACAACGGCCCAAATCAAAATAAATCTGGAACGATGAGTTCCCAGTACTCCAATACGGGTCATCAGGGATTGGGGAAAACACCTATGGAGAACCCTAAAGACGGAACCGCATCCAGAGTTTCGACGAATCTCACCGGAAACCGCGCCGGAGAGAGCGACACCGATCAGTGGCGACGGTTGCCTCAAGCCGAATGGCGCGACAGGCAGCAGCGAGGCTTGTGCTTCAAGTGTGACGAGCGTTGGCACCCAACTCACAAATGTCAGGTGCGTCAACTTCACGTGCTGCTGGTTGACGATGACGACGAGGAGGAGAACGAGGGAAACGGAGCAGGAGAGGTGGTGACTCCCATCTCAGAGAAGGAGGAAACCGAACGACCTGTACAGCTTTCATTACAGAGCTTACTAGGGCTCTCTTTCAAGCCAAACACTGAAGGTTTGGGGAGAAATACAAGGTCAAAGGGTGGTAGTGATGGTCGATTGTGGGGCGTCCAGCAACTTCATAAAAAAGGAGATCGTAGAAGAGCTGGGGTTGGAAGTCTCTGATACATCGTCTTACCAAGTAGAAATTGGGAATGGGTTCAAAATCAGTTGCAAGGGGGTATGCAGGGAAGTTGATGTCAGTATTCAAGGAGCTCAAATCAAGCAGGATCTGTACCTATTTGAACTGGGGAGCGCTGATGTAGTCTTGGGACTTGAATGGCTGACCCAGCTAGGAGAAATAAAAGCAAACTTTAAAGAGATGACCCTCAGGTATGGCGAACGAGGGAAGAAGACAGTGATTAAAGGAGACCCAGCCTTATCCAGGTCTGAAGCTTCATTTAAATCGATCAGGAAGGCTCTTCGTGATCAGGGTCTGGGATTTTACGTGAAGTCTTTAGATGACATCAGAAAAGACGGCGGGGAGCCATGGGCCGAAATGGACACACTGATTTCAGAATTTGGAAGCCTCTTTGGCGAACCTAAGGAACTACCACCAGCAAGGTCCATTGATCATGCTATTCATTTGAAGGCAGGAGGACACATACCCAACATTCGACCGTACAGGTACCCTTACTATCAAAAATCTGAAATTGAAACTTTGGTTGCTGAGTTGTTTACAAATGGCATGATCAGGCATAGTACAAGTCCCTACTCTAGCCCAGTTATATTAGTTAAAAAGAAAGACGGGAGTTGGCGCGTCTGTGTTGATTACAGGGCGCTCAACAAGATTACTATTCCCGATAAGTTTCCAGAGCCAATGGTTGATGAGTTATTGGACGAATTAGGTGGATCTCAGGTTTTTTCTAAACTGGATCTGAAATCTGGATACCACCAGATTAGGACGAGGGAGGAGGACATCCCGAAGACAGCTTTTCGAACACATGAGGGGCATTACGAATACTTGGTGATGCCCTTCGGGTTAACGAACGCCCCGTCCACTTTCCAAGCATTGATGAATGAGATCCTTCGGCCATTCCTTAGGAAATTCGCGCTGGTTTTCTTTGATGATATCCTGGTATATAGCCGAGACAGGGGCGACCACATCACCCACCTAAGGGCTGTACTGGAGGTGCTGAGACAGAATAATCTGGTAGCAAATAAAAAAAAATGTAGTTTTGGAAGAAAACAAATTGAGTACTTGGGTCATTGTGTTTCAGCTGAAGGTGTAAGGGCTGACCCGGAGAAGATAAAAGCTATGGTATCCTGGCCCAGTCCAAAGGATATCAAGGGGTTAAGGGGATTCCTTGGATTAACTGGGTATTATCGCAAGTTTGTAAAAGATTACGGAAAAATTGCTAAGCCACTTACGAAGCTGCTTAAAAAAGAGGGGTTCAAGTGGAGTGACGAGGCAGAGAAGACCTTTCAGTTATTCAAGACTATGATGAGCTCAGTTCCGGTTCTAGCTTTACCAGATTTTACTAAGCTGTTTACAGTCACCACCGATGCTTCTGGCAAAGGCATTGGAGCAGTGTTAATGCAAGATAACAGGCCCATAGCGTTCATCAGTCAAGGCTTCTCAGTTAGAGCACAAGCTAAGTCTGTTTACGGAAAAAAGTTGATGGCAATAGTATTTGCCTTGCAGAAATGGAGACATTATTTGATGGGGAGACACTTTGTGGTTAAAACAGACCAACGTAGTCTTCGATTTCTGATGGATCAGCAAGCTCTTAGTGAAGACCAACAGAAATGGATCGCGAAAATAATGGGGTTCGACTTTGAAATTGTCTACCAACCAGGGAAAGACAACCAGGTGGCAGATGCTCTCTCTAGGACAATGGTTTTTGGGGCATTAACTCGAATTCATTGGTCTCACTTTGATGACTTAGAGTCTGAAGTACAACAAGATATAAGGCTTAAGGGCATTTTACAAGATCTGTTGATTGCCCCTGATGCTCATCCAGGATATATGGTCAGGGAAGGGAAGTTGTTTTACCATGAGAGGTTGGTTATACCCAAGACTTCAAAGTTCATTCCCCCTCTGTTGAAAGAATATCATGACACTGGATTTGGAGGACATTCAGGTTATTTCAGAACTTTTAAAAGATTGGCCGGAGTGGTTTATTGGGAGGGCATGCGTAAAGACATCAAGGATTATGTGGCTGGTTGTGAGGTATGTCAACAGTGCAAAACTCAAAATCTCACCCCTGCCAGTTTATTGCATCCTTTACCCATCCCAAATAAGGTTTGGGAAGACATCTCTCTTGATTTTATTGGAGGGCTGCCACGGGCAACGGGGGTTGACACTATCTTAGTGGTGGTTGACCGTTTCACTAAGTACGCTCATTTTCTGACTTTAAAACATCCTTATACAGCAAAGGATGTTGCAGAATTATTTGTCCGGGAAATTGTTCGGCTTCATGGGTTCCCAGCCACCATTGTTTCAGACAGGGATCGCGTTTTCTTAAGTAATTTCTGGTCTGAAATTTTTAAATGTGCAAGTACGCAGCTACATTACAGCACGGCATACCATCCGCAAACAAATGGCCAGACCGAGGTGGTTAACAGGTCCTTAGAAGCTTATTTAAGGTGCTTTTGCTGTGAAAAACCCAAAATGTGCCCTAAGTGGGTGCAATGGGCAGAATTTTGGTATAACACCACTTTTAAGGATGCTACAGGGATGACTCCCTTTAAAGGGCTGTATGGGAGAGACCTTCCCACTCTATTTAAGTGTGGCACATTCATTCCTGCTGTAGATGCTGTTTCACAGGCCTTAATGCAACGGGATGTCATATTACAAAATTTGCAACAGCATTTGCTCAAAGCCCAAGACCGGATGAAGCATTATGCAGATCAAAACCGACGTGATCTTCAATTCACAGATGGAGATTGGGTTTATTTGAAGGTCCAACCTTACCGTCTTAAGACTATAGCAAAGAAGATCAATGAAAAACTGAGCCCGCGTTTCAATGGCCCATATCGAGTGCTGGAACGGATTGGAGGTGCAGCTTATAGACTCCAGCTACCCAAGGACTGTAAAGTCCACCCGGTCTTCCATGTCAGTCTTCTTAAGAAGGCTGTCAAAACAGGAGCCACTGTCCAACCCCTTCCGTCCATGTTGAGTGCAGATTGGGAATTACTAGTGGAACCTGACGCCTTGCTGGACGTTCGGTGATCATTGCAGGGTCATGTTCAGGTGTTGCTCAAATGGAAACATTTGCCGGATTGTGAAAATACATGGGAGGATCTGGAAGTCATCAAGTTAAAGATGAAGTGCGCTCAAATAAAATTAATAATGAAATACTCAATAATATAAGGTGTTTATCTGATAAAACATATTGTCTCTATGACACTTACATACTAAGAGTCGTACCTCTTAGGATAAATCCCCAAAGGGAAGTCCATACTCGTTCAAATAGCCAACCAACTAGACAATCAATTTAGCATTCAATTGTATGTCAATCCGTACACTAACTATAAAATCTAGCACCTAATGCTTGTACTTTGGTCCATACACCAATGCACAACGACTCTATATGCAACGTGGACGGACAGACTGAAGTTGTAAATGGAACCCTTGAAACTTAAGATGTTTCGCTAACGACCATCCCAAAGGTTTGGCAAAGTGGATTCTGTGGGCAGAATTTTGGTTTAACACCACATACAATCATTCAACACGGATGACTCATTTCAAGGTGGTTCTTTTGAATTGTTATTGTATTTTTGGGGTCTGGAGGTAGGAGTAGGAGTAAGAGTCCCTAAGTCTGCGTGGTCTTTTTGTTTGTTTTGAATTGTTAATACTGTTGTATTGGTCAGGTTGTAATTCAAAGGGGCTGTTTCCCCAAGTTGTGATTAATTCCATAGAGCAATTGCATTTTCTGTTTTACTGATACCATAAAAAACCTGTTTGCATTTACTGATTTCTTTAGGGTATGTTCGGATGGAGGGGTTTGGAGAGAAAGGGAAGAGAGGGTTAATTTTTCATTTTAAAATTGAGCGATATAAAATATTTATAGAAATAAACTAGGGACAATTGGATGGCTATATGATAATCTCTCATTTTATTACAACTTACAAAATCCTCAAATAGAGGGGTATAGTACCCTCCTGACCCATTCCTTCCAAACATGCCCTTGGTGAAGAAATCCATTATTGTTTGTTATCTAAGGATGTACGATGTCTAAAAATCTTTTATCCTCTACTGTAGAGATGAATATAATCGTTTAGTGGAGGTATTAAATTCAAGGGCAATTGACCTTTCTAATGTTGAAGAAGGAAAGGAAAATACAAATTTGACTTCAAGGAGAGATGATGAGGGGCTTGCAATGACACCCGGGCTTTCAAAAATTTCCAATGAACAAAGGCATGATGAATCAAATGGAGCCATTTGGGGAAGCTCAACACCTCTTAGTCTGTCAAAAGTGAGTATTGCAACTTGTTGGAACCATTCACATTTATTAGTAGATTATGATCAAGCTCTTTGCCTATAGTTGAGATTAAACTGTTTATGCTGAATTTGGGTCTTGACAAAGATATATGCAGGATACGCTACCATTTATGTATGATATGCTGAAGATATAACAAGGATATTCTAACACCTATATTCTTACTTAATTTGTTGATGAATGATTCAATTGTACCTTTTCTCCGGTTATAGTTGTATTTTTGCACTTGGTATACTTACAATATCATGCTGAGCTTTTAACTTTCGAATGTTTATCTATCACTTTTAAAGATCAAGTGCAATAATATTGAATAATGGGGTGGCATTAAAATATCAATTTGGCTACAGGGATTTAGGCTCCCTCTTTGTCAACTAACCTTCTACCCTTCTGCAAATGTCTTCTAGGGTCTCTCTCTCTCTTTCTCAGTCTTATATTAAGACTTTGAAGTCCAGAGAATATACCTAATAGGATGAATTGTGTCTATAATAGTCCACAAATATTATTGTTGGTATTAATTACAATGGTTCAATCCCGGATATTCATAATCCTAATTATATACATATTCCTATGAAACCTGTCCTAATAAGATAAAAAGGTTAATTGAAAATTTGACCTATCACACGGTATCATAACGATACCATCCTTAGAAACCTGTCCTTTCACTATCCGGCTATTTTGTTTCCTAAAATTTGGAACTCTATTTTAACATTGTCATTATCTCCATGATACTTTCTTCTTGTGTCTCGCAACAAACTGAGTCTGTTGCGCCCACTGCCCAGCGACAAATATTTCCAAACCCATCATGTGATTTGTTTGAATTGGATCCTTCTATCCTTCTCTCCTCGCTATGACTCAAAAGTTATATTATCCTAGGATGCATTTGAATTATAGAATGTGTAGTCCTTTTAGGTTCAGATGTAATTTTGTTTGTATGATAGACAAATTAATAACTCCAGGTTCGAGATGAGATTGGTGCTTCACCAATTGAGATTGCTAGGGCATACATGGATTCCCGTGCATCAGAAGCAGGCTCCTGCTCTAAGAGCATGATTCAAACAGTTGAAAGCAGAGTGTTGTATGGTGATGAAGCTGCAATAAAACCACTACCAAAGAATTCATCAACATGTTGGCCAGGTGCTGTGGTACAGGATACTTACATAACACCACAAAGTCACAGAAGCGGATATGGACTTCATAACTTCCCCCGGACTCCTTATTCCAGAACTCTATTAACAAAGTCCAAGGTATATTTTGTTTAGTTAGCTTATCTTGTCCTTTAATGATTCAGGTTGTTTCCAAACTTGTCACACTTTTTCATTTCTGTTTGACTAGTTCATTCATATGGAAGGTGACTACAGCCAAGTTTCATCAACTCCCCTCCGGCAATCACAAACTACTCTGTATCAGCAGGTATCTTTCAGTTTTCTGATCCTTTCATGATTGTATTTGATTTGTAATATGTCGGTTCTTTGAACAATGTATTAGTCACTGAAGGCTACCATCAACATTGCTTAAATCCCAATTCCCCATAACAGATCCTGGCACGAGGAAATTGTCCACCACCTAATAAAGGAAAATATTTATAATGGAGTTACCAGATTTGAACACACCATTAAATAGCAGCCATATTAACTAAAGCTCTTCCGAGACCCAATTATGAGAAATAGGAAATAAGATTCCTATTTAATGGGAACAGCCATGATTGAATGTTCCTGTTGTTAAGTCCTTTCAGCTGTACATGTGTAGTATTATTTGTTTCCATTCTTAAAGGGATTGATCGTAGATGATATCCCCACTGAGTTTTAATCGTTTAGGTTTTTTATTTTATGAGCAAGAGAACTTAATCCTTTCCATTTTAGGCTCATAAATTAGTGTACAGGTTTTCCAATTTATGTCAGCTTTTGTAATCATATTTTGAGTCAAGGGGAATGAAACACAGTTTTCTTCCAAATTCTACTCCAGTAGTCTAAACATTGGCTGCCTTGACTTTCACATTTAGAATTATTTGGGGCAAATGGAGGTAATGTATTATTCTTAGGGATCCTATGTTGTAAAGGCCTTAGTTGCTTCCCTAATCATTTGGTTATTGCTTATGAACTTCAGATTATGGTTGTTTAATATCTCTGCTGATACTGAACATTGAAATTATCTTGTATCTCAAGTAAAAGGCATCTGAAACTTGGAAAATATCATTATCATGCAAGTGAGATTGATAACTAACTTTAATTGTAATAAACATAGGATAAATCTAAAGTTGGTGCATCAGAAAGTGGATATGGATCTGTTGGACCTATTCGACAAATTAGGCATAAGGTTGGTGTTCAATCTTCAAGAAGACCACCTTATTCAGCTCTAACTGGCACTTCACATAGAGAAAGTCATGGTGTTATTGAAGGTTTCACTCCTACTGTTACAAGGAGCACGAATCATGATGATCCGAACTGCACTCGTGAGCCACAGGACTTTGAGTTGGGTGCTCCAACAGTACACATGCATTCCAGTTTAATGGCTAAGAAGATATTGGAGCATATTGATAGAAACGTTCCCACTCCTAAAGCAAAATCGACTGAGCTGAAGTTGGCAACTAAATGGAAGTATCCTGAATCTTCTGTAAATTTCAGCACTGTCTTGTCAAATGAAGATAATGCCTTGCTTAAAATAAAAGATGGTGGTCCTTATATATATGATGGGAATGATGGAAAGAAATCTATGCTGACAAATGAAGGTAAAGGAAACATCCATGTTGATATTCAACCTAGGGAGTGTACCGATAAATCTATCAATGTCAGAAAAGAAGGAACCTTGGCATCTGATATGAATGTTTGCCACGGCATCCCAAGACTCAGTAATGATGCAAGGGCTACACAAAGTTTTGGTGGTTCTCAAAGTTTTCTTATGAAGTCTACTGAAGAGGTACTCTAATTATTTAATGGCCGTATTAGCTTTCTTTCTTGTATTTTTCCTATTTGGCATTCTAAATTTGTGTTTAGACCTTATTAAATTCAGTAGTTATTCTGTTTAAAATAGTAGTGTTAAGATAATATAGGTAGTAGCGGAATAGAGAACCAATAGCAGATGAGGATATTGGGTTGCAACAACCTTGCCTACATGGGAAGGAGGGTGGGAAGGAAGAAGAAAAGGGTGAGGAGCAAAGATAAAAGGGAGGGAAAAGGATGGGAGAAGGCATCCAAAAATTGAGTGATTTTGGGAACCTTTGGATCAGGAGGTAGGCAGACTCTCAAAGATCTGCTGGACTTTTATATTTTTATTCTGTTTTTCAGTTTAAGGAAGAGGGATTTCCCTATTCTAAGGAGCTAGAGTACGTTGTTTCATTCTAAGTAATGCAAGTTCTTATGAAGAGCAGAAGTGAGACCCAATGGCCATGGCACTTGGGGTGTCGTGCACGTCACTGGTTCAAGAATTGATGAAGTTGAATCATTATTGTTGTAATCCCTTTCGAAGACCGGAGATGTCGAACCGAATGCACATAAATTGGGCAAAACAGGAAAATTTAGGATTTGAAAAGAGAAACTATTGTTCTCAAATCAATTATCAAAATAATAGAAAATTCAATTAATTTCCAATAGGAATCTTAAATACCCTTTTATAGGCCAATTGAAAATAAATAAGAATTAGCTACGCCTAAAATAAGGAAACAATTAAAATTAAATCAACCCTAAAGTTTTACAAATATAAATTTCACAATCAGTCTTGCTTAAAATACATCTCAAATCTTAGCCCTCAAAACACCCCAACTTCCTTGAATACGTGGGTCATACTTAATGGGCCATAAATTTGATTGAAACTGGATTTCTAAAATCAACCCGTTTAGTGTTTTGCCCATGCTTAATGGACCAACTCTAGGTGCACCATCTTCTCCTGCTATGAAAAGATTCTCCCTCAAATATGTTTAGTATTATTAGAATTTCTCCATTGAAGGATAACCAGAGAAAGTGAGAGAAAGAGAGAGAAAATCATTTCTGTTATTGAGTGTAAAAGGAAGTGAATCGTTACATTGGGATGCTTACACAGCTCTATTTATAGAGCTGAAAATAACTCTACACTAAGTCAGCTAACTAATCACTAAATAACAGAAAAGGAACGACTTAACAGGCACTAACAACCCTGATAAAAGGGAAAGAAATCATCTACAATAGATACACATAAGGCAAGATACTGCTACTTAATACTCCCTCTCAAGCTCAACAGGGTTGGGGAGGCAAAACATAGTCCAACACTCTGAGCTTGGATTTGAAGTCAACAAAGGGAACAAGGGGAAGTGGTTTGGTGAACGTATCTGTAATCTAATTTGCAACAGGAATGTGGAAAACTTGAATATCCTTAGCCACAACCTTTTCACGAAGAAAGTGAAGATTGAACTCTAAGTGTTTGGTGCGGGCATGTAAGACGGGGTTGTGAGCTATAGCCACTGCACTGAGATTATCACAAAAGATTTGAGGAACCGACAAAGGAAGTTGCAGCTCATGAAAAAGAGATTTAACCCATAAAATTTCAGCACACACAAGTGCCATGCTCCTATATTCAGCTTCAGCTTCAGCTGTAGAACGAGCTACAAGAGATTGCTTCTTTGACCACCAAGAAATCATATTAGGTCCAAGGAAGATGCACGCACCAGAAACAGATCTTCTGTCATCAGGATCACTACCCCAATCAGCATCACAGAAGCATGCAGAGGAAATGAGCCAGAGACGGATTTGATGGACTGAAGGTGCAAGCCGAAGCTGATAGTACCTTGAAGATAGCGCAAAATGCGCTTAACAGTCTTCCAATGCTCTAATAAAGGCTGGCTCATGAACTGGCATACCTTGTTAACCAAGAAGGCAATCTCAGGTCTGGTGATAGTTGCATACTGAAGTGCACCAAGCACAGACCTGTATAAATAAGGATCCTCAAACAAATTACTACCAAGCTTGGTCAATTTACAACTCGGCTACATAGGAGTGGAGATGGGTTTAGCTTCAAGCATGTTAACTCTGGTGAGAAGATCTTTGATGTACTTAGATTGAATGAGAAGCAAGGAACCTGCAGATTGCCTCTTGACCTCAATGCCCAAAAAATAGTCAAGATTTCCGAGATCCTTTAAAGCAAACATAGAGTGAAGTTGTGAGATAAAATTCTGAATAAAAGGAGCATTATTTCCTGTAATGATGTTGTCATCCACGTAAACTAGCATGTAAACCCGCATGTTACCAGCCTTATAAATAAATAAAGAGGGGTCACAGCGACTAGCTTGAAAACCAAGAGACCAAACAGAAACTTTTAGTTTCTCAAACCAGGCTCTAGGTGCCTGTTTGAGTCCATGGAGGGATTTGTGAAGTTTACACTCAAGAAACTTGTTCTTAGCCTCAAAACCAGCTGGCTGCACCATATAAACTTGTTAATACTCCCATCAGGATTTTCTTTTACTTTGAATACCCATTTACACCCAATAGCCTATCTGCCATGAGGTAAAGTGATAAGGGACCAAGTATTATTACTTTGTAGTGCTGCATACTCAAGTTCCATTGTTGTGCTCCAGTGGGGACTAGCCAAAGCCTGCTTAACAAAAGAAGGTTCAGTATAAGAGAGTAAAACTTGAGTCCTAGCCAAAGTTTTGGACCTTGTAACAATGGAATGACCAGGTGAGGAAGGACTCTGAAACAAATGGAGCATACTCAAGAGTGAGAGAATTCTGCACTAGACGAAAAGGTTGAAATGGGACTAGGAACATCTGAGTGTTGAGCATTTTGGGAAGATGGTGAGTATAGTGAATCAAATGCTAAGTTAGGAGTACGTAACTGAACTGAACTAGAAGAAAAATTGGGCTGCGGACTATGAGTGACAGAATCTAAAGTACTGGCAATAGGTGACACAATTGTGACATGATCATTAGAAAACTCAGCAGTGTGAGAGGGTGTTGGGGAGATATTTTCTTGACCAGAATGAGGTAGAATAGATAAGGGAACAGAGGTGGAGGCAGATAAAGGTGACATGACTTGTGGAGTAAGAAGAGTGTTGTTGTTGTGCCATTCCTTATAAGTAGGGGTGTTAACCGGCCGAGCCGAGCCGAGCTTTGGTCTTAAAAGGCTAAGCCTGTGTTTAAATGTGTCAGCCTGACCAAGCCTGTTACATGTTATTAATATAATTATCGGCCTGTGGCCTGACTTATTTACAAAAAATAAAAGCCTTGTTTAGCCTGTTTTAAAAAAATAAGATAACAAAAATTTATCCAAATAAAATATACAATCAACCGTATTAGTAATTCCGTAAATACTCATAAATTCAATGTATATCCAAACAGCATAATATAGAACCAAATCATTCAAAAAGAACATATTTGGATATAAAAATCCTATCTTCCGGACTCAAACAGATGTATCCCTTGTGATTTGGAGAGACCAAGAAAAATGCATTACTTTGATCTAAGTTCAAGTTTATGTTTGTTGTATGGCCTGAGAAAGGGAAAACAAGCGCACCCAAAGGTTCTAAGAAATTTAAAGTCAGGTTGCTGGTTGTAAAGCTTAGTACATGGGATTTCAAAATTAATGGCAAAGGAGGGAAGTCTATTTATGAGACAAGTGGCAGTGGTAAAGAATCCTTTCGGAACAAGAAGGAATTGTTAGACTGACTCTCACCTGGTCATTTATGTCATCGGTAGAGAAGAATGAGCCAAAAGAGCTAAACCAGTTTCCGCTATATGTCTGTGCTTTTTTTCTACAACACCATTTTGTTGGGAGGTATGAGGACAAGTAACTCAATGAGCTATTCTACTCATTTTAAGATACTGAGTAAAGGCCCTAAACTCACCTCCCCAATCTGTTTGAAGAGCCTTTAATGGGAGTTGAAATTGATTGGTTACCATGACATGAAATTGCTTGAAGATAGTTATGGCATCAGATTTCTATTTTAGAGGATAGTGCCATGTGTATCTAGTATGAGCATCTACAAAAGAGATATTATAGATGTTGTCAAGGGATGATTTTAAAGATGATGGTCCCCATAGATCACTGTAAACAAGGCTGAACGGTTCCTTATATTCAGTGCTAGAAGGTAGGGAATGCAGTCTATGAGATTTAGCACAACAACACGAGGAGCAAAATTCTGCCATTTTATTACTGAAGTGTATATTACATGATTTTAGTACATTTCTAAGAGAGTCTATATGTGGATGTCCTAGACGACAGTGCCACAAAAAGTACAAGGAATTAGAAGAAGAGGTACATTCACTATCATGTGTATCTACAAACAGTATTAGAGGACTAAGTGCTAGAATTAATACTAGGACTGATAACATTGGCAGAATTGCGTGCAAAGAGAGATTTACTTGCAATTGGAGTAGACCTTTTGATAATTTGAGATCTCTGTTCCAACAGCACCTTGGAGGAGTACTTTATGTGAAACCTGACATTTCACAAAACAGATATCAGAATGGAACTCAAAGTAAACTGAATTATCTTTGGCAAACTTACTAACACTGATGAGATTTTTGGTGATTGAAGGAACTAAAAGTAAGTTCTTAAGGTGAAAATGAGTGTTAGAATCAAAAGGAGATATAAAAGAAGATGAACCAATGGCTGTTATAGGCAGACCCTAGCTGTTTTCAACAAAAATTTGATCTATACCACTAAGTTGATGTCCCTGCACAACATTCTGAGAGAGACCAGTGACATAATTCGAGGCGCCAGTAGCCATTCAACTAATGGTGCTGTGTTTGAAATGGATGGAGCAATTATGTAAGCTTGAGGTTGAACTTGTGGTTTGTTATAATGAAAAGACCTGACATTCTGAGGTTGTTGCTGAATGAAATACTGTGGATGGGAAGTGTTTTGAGGTGCAGGTAAGGTTGGAGTGAAGTTTTCTTCAAATCTATGCCTGCAATCGCGAACATCATGCCCATACTTATAATGAAGTTGGCAATGGACGTTTGTTCTAGTGCCACATCCTCTTCCACGATTGAATCTCCCATTTGATCTTGCTCGTCCTCTATTTTCACCATGTGCAGTGTTGAAACGCCTGTAATTTGATTGCTCTGGTCGACTCTTTTCTGGTTTCAGAAACAGAGACATCTTCTTCGTCTAATTCAGGGGCTTTGGCACCGATTTGATAGAATCTCAGCACAGAAAAATAAGGAAAAATATAGAACTGTCTATTAAAACACTGATATTGTGATATCAATAACAAGTACATCAGTTAACTCAAAAGGATGAAAAGATGACAATCGAAATACAAAATAAGAAGATAACACAGGGCATTCCAGAGGCCCCTTCTTTCCTGAAACTCTCTTCTAGCCAATCTGTTAAGTTCCACTGACCTCCCCTCACACCCCTTTATCCTTTTTCAGTTGATTAAAGCGGTAATGTTCTAGTGAGTGGGCTCTCATGCTCCAGTTGGAACCCTTTTGTAGCATATACATGCTTAATCTCAGACCTTCTATCACATTCATATGAAGATAAGAGGCATATGATGTATATGTAACAACTTGAGGAAGAGTGTTAGAATTAATGGATTATCTCTACTGGTATGTAAATGTCATATGATTACGGTAGAAAATTTTGTATTTATGATACAATCAATCAGGATTAATTGTGGAATCAATTGTAATAATTGTAATAGAGTCCAATGCCAATACATATTTAGATATAGAGAGAGTGTGTGTGTGTGTGTGGACACAACAAAGTCACTCAAATCTGATTTTCAAGTACCATAATTTGGTCATTTTGCTTCAAGCAATGGCAACCTAGTGGTGGTTTTCCTTGGGGACGCTTCACCTTGAGGACAAGGTGAAGCTTTTGGGGCGAAGTATTGTTAGGCACCCCATGGTTACGGGAGTTAAGCAAAATAGAGTAGAGGAGAAAATACAGATGGAATCGGTTGTAATAACCATGCTTACATGGCAAGGAGGGTATGATGGAAGGGGAAAAGGATTAGGTGCAAAGATAAAAAGTAGCTAAAGGCATGGAAGGCGTCCAAAAATAGATTGAATGTTTTGTGGCTATTTGGCCAGGAAGGTTGGCAGATCCTCAAAGATCTGCGGGAGTTTCTATCTTTTTTGTTCTTTTTGTTTTTCAGTGTAATCAAGAAATAGCTAGATTCCATTGATTCTTTCTCGATAATACAAGTTTCTATCATGTAGGAACTTTTGAGGATGCAGTAAGGTTAATTTCTAATAAAAATTTATTATATATTTTAAACATATGGAATTTTTTATTTAGTTATCATAATACATTTTAATTTTGGCATAATATTTCGAGAACCAACCGTTTCTATATACCCACTGTGCAGGATGCTTTGAAGACTTTCCCAAGTGGCTGTCACCCTTGTGTAGTAAATCAAGAAAAGAAGCCTCTCTCTAACTCTGCAGCCAGCAAAACAGGTTTACCTCCCATTATCATCAAGAAGCCTGAATCAAGGTGGACCTTAGCATATGATAATGGCTCAGGATTTACCTTCCCTGTTTCTGCATCCTCTTCTGTATTCTCTGAGCCACCAACACCATCCATCATGCCATTATTCTCTACTGGGGATCAGCACCAATTAAAAGAAAGTTCTACTGAACTGTCGTTTAGTTTTGGTTTAAGAAAGTCCAGTGCGGCCATAGTTTTTTCCTTCCCTTCTACAAGCAATACTGTTATTCATAATGATGCTGGGGACATCAAATTTAACTTCGGTTCAACTGAGAAGGCAAGGCTGTCGTTTTTATTTGGAGAAGATGCTGTCTGCTGTTAAATGAAACTGCAAAATGAGGTTCCAAAAGTTGTCTCAAATTTTTTTTTTTTATTATTAATTTACGGTTACTGTATTTTACCCTATCGTCCCAGGGCATATTGTACTCTTTTGCTTTCCTTTTCTTCTTTACGTGAAGATGAGTAAAATTAAGCCGTTTTGATCAAGTTGTGTGGTTTATCGGGAGCTTTATAACATTAGGTTGGGAAGATGGGAATTTTTGCAATATAATGTTGTGTTTTTAGAATATTGTTATCATAGGACATCCAAACCTAGATCCGCATGCAATTATTAAGTCGTTAGGAAGCTAAATTAGGCCATCAATCCAATGACCAAACCTGGGGTCAAAGTTTCTTTAGCCTCGTTAGTTAGTGACCAAGACCAAACCGAGATATAGATGTGAACTGGCGAATTGTACCTGCACACCTTCAGAAACGAGCAGCTATACACTTGACGGAAGTTGCTTGCTGCTACGGTTGTTATATCTCCCCCCCGTGCTTTTAGGCTGTGTCTGTTTAAATGAGACCTTTGAATTTTGGTCCTCGAAGATTTTTGGAACATCCACTTGGCTAATGAAATGATACTTTTTCAACTGTCCCAAAGTTGGATGTGAAGATGTGGATTTTCTGATGTGAAAATGTGGTTATATTATTTTATCATAATCACTCATTTAAAAAGTATATATTTTTCTCTCTTTTATCTCATCATCAATGAGTGGTTGTGATCAAATAATATGATCGTATGATCACTTTTTCACATGAGAGGATCTAAATCTTCCAAAATTATTGTTTACTAGGATCAAATTATTTTTATGTTATGACCAACAATCATGAGGACTAAAATCTGATATTGATAAATCTTTCAAGGACAATTTTTTAAAAAACCTTCTGAAGACCAATTATGAGTTTAATGTAAAAATTATTTGATGTACATTTGTAGTAACAACAAAGTGAGTTAGTGAGAAAAAGAATAAATCAAAAACTAGAGTTATTGAAGAAAGCTTTGTAGTAACAAGTCGTAAAGCATAAGAGTATATGGAACGTGAGTTTAACAACACGCACTAGCACCGGCTTGAGGTGATAATCGGGTATCATATCACAAGTCACTTAGTTTGAGTATCTTGGACTAATTACTATTAAAAAATATTGTAAGATGCGAGTATATTTGATTCAAACTATGTGAACGAAATGGAAAAATGTTGCGGGTTTTATTTATGATAAAAATGTGTCATAAGTTTAAAGAAAGCAATATATAGCATAGTCATGAATTAGTTTTATGGTACTAAATATTTGATGATAAAGTGCTTGAGAAGTCAAAGTCCAGATTGTGGCATCATTAGTTCTTGAGGATAGAATTTTGATTGCAACTTTTATTTTCAGAAAGCATATGATTTGTGATACACATGAAGGGATGACACAAAGAGAGCCCGTCCAAGTTCTAGTTGACCTAGGATGAGATTAGAATTGGATCAATTAAATGAACGATCCAATAGGATGAATATTTCGATCAATGCACGGCAAAATTCTTCTAATTGATGTAGGAGAGAAAGACATAAGGACTAAGCGTACTATGTGAAAAGTAATGATGGTGAATAGGACCAAAACTCAGATAGTAGTGTTAGGAGGAATGTAGGTGGGCGTAGAGAAATTAGGAATCGAGAGGATAATAACTTAAGTAGCATTGAAATAAAGATTTCAATGTTTTAGGATAAAAATGATCCGAAAGCATACCTCAAAAAGGAGAAGATTGAGTTCATATTTTATTACCATAATTATTCCAAAGCAAAGAAGGTGAAATTGGCAATTACCAATTCTCAGATTATGCCATTGTTTGGTGGGATCAAATGGTATTAAATAGAAGGCAAAATGATGAGAGATTGTATACACATGGGAGGAGATAAAAACTGTCATGATGATCACTTTGTTCCAAGACTCTATTACCTTGAGTTATACAAGAGAACCAAAGTGTTGACGACTACTTTAAAGAGATGGATGTAACACCTAGTGTGCACCGGATGTATTAACATGCATATGATATTAAGTGCAACATGTTTAAATAAATAAACACGGAAGGTTACTTGATAATTCACTAATAGTTCTAATATGAAAATGTGAATAAACTTTTTTTTCCCTTATGTATTGCAATTCACCAATTATTTTGAATCCAATTAATATCGTGTGATACTCTCTTACACCTCACGTTCTATTTATAATAAAATGGACGGCATCTCCTTTGTATTTGGAGGCTTTGGGGATTATTCCCACATAGAAAAATATAGCTAATTGACAGTTTAATATAATCCAGAGATAGCACACTATGTCCATTAGTCTAACCAAAAATCCATCCATGGATTATGACGTATTGGGCTCAAATAAACATACATGCATAAATCATATTGTCTAACAATCCATTGCTTAGGTTATCACATACATATCATGTCTCAAATAATACCCATATTGTTACTTACATGATTACATCAATTAACCAAAAAGAGATGTAATTAAATAAGTAACATAAACTTATACATAGCAATCAAAGTCTCGTGTTAAATGCACTATCTCTATTCTTGCCTCTTGCCATGCGATACCTCAGTACCATCAGTCTCTATACTTGAAATACGTTCCCCATAGGGTAAGATAATTATCTTAGTAAACTATGAGTCCTAGGAGAGTTCTCCACCCCTAAGTTTACTTCAGGTATAACCACAATAAAAACCAATATAAAACATCATCATATACATATATATATATATATATATATATATATATATATCATTCAAGTGTGCAATAATGAAACGTACTGGCCAGAGAATACAAGTACTGGGTACAGGACCTTCAAGTGAACGAGGTGGTCCCTTATTCCTAAGGCAACCAGCAGCGTTGTTTCCACAACACTACCTTCCCCCTCTGGTTAAGCTGTCTGAAATCCCTTCCTTATGGAAGTTCCTTTCTCAGTATATGTTCAATTTCTATTGATACACAATGAATATAGTTCACTTAACTAGAGAAATACAAAAGCTTAAATACAAAAGTTTGAAAATAAATCTTTAAGAACTTTGCAGTTTTTCCGTTCCACAGATAGTTTAGCCCATGGCTACTAGCTTAAACATAATTATTCCAAACTGAAGTCTCATAGACCCGAAATTCAGTTCAGAGATAACGAATGGAAAGGAGAGAAATAACACTTGTATTTAAATGAAAACAACTTGATTACAACGAAATGAAAAGTGGAGAATATGATTGTTGCTCGTGAGGAGTCTCAAGTGGGTGATACAGAATGAAGAAGAAGTGTTGTCACTTAGCTAAAGTTAAAACTATACAAAAATACAAAGAAAACTATAAAATAAACTAAGTGATCTCTTCTTAAGGAATTCGATCTGTTTCTTCGTGCTGGAACGTCGTATTTATAGGCAGAAGAGTGAAGGGCAAAGTGGGTAATTCTCTTGGAGTTGTTCTCTTGACTGCATGGAAGGGGCGGTGTGAACAGTGCTTTGAGGGGCGCAAGGGGCTGGATGGGACAGTCATTGTTGAGATTTTTCTTTCCTTCGATCATCCCCATGCCTTGTTTTCCTCTTTAACCAATAGGAACCGTTTATTTTTTGCTGCGCACGTTTCCTCTTGCTCGATTGCTGCACTGCTTATGCTTTTATGGAAACTTCTTTCCAACGTTTCCTGCAAAGTGGTCAGATATATTAAATAAGTAGAGCAGGTGTATTTAATGTTCCAAATTCGTTCCCCTTTTTATATATTTTCCAAATACTTACGTCACCATCTGTTCCCCACTGTGTTTTTGTCAAAAAGATATTAAACATGTGCTTTTAGTGCTAAAGTTGCTCATCAGGTGAAGGAACGGATGGCATTTTGACATCAAAATGGGCTAGATGGGCACGAATTTTTGTCCCATCAAACACCCCAAAACTAAACTGTTGGTTGTCCTCAAACAACTCAGAAATAGTGGCTTAGGTTGCTCAATTTCAAAGAATAGCTCAACTTCAGAAGCTTGAGCCAGTAGGTAATCATAAACTTTTCAAAGAAAGAACTACTTTCCATAGGTGACAAGTAAAAAGAATTTGTTCCCAGGTAAGTGAAGGTTGCTGATCTTTTGTCTCACTATCACTCAGGGCTTGGTGTTTCTCTGTCCATTCCTGGATGTGATTCTTCAAACTTGCTTATCTGCTGCTTTCCTAACAAACGCAGGGGTCCTCCATATCAAGGATCTTTGTGAAAAGGATTGATGGAGGTTTTAGAAATGGAGTGGTAACTGGTCTTAGATTAAGGAACATTGTTCAGGTCTTCTGTTCCGGAGCTGGACTTTTCTGGTTGAGGGAACACCTTGTCTTTTTGTACTTTTTTTCTTCCTTTGGAGGAATCTTTTCTGGTATTTTCTTCTGAATTCTTTTGAATGGCTATTCCCATTCTTCTTTGTTTTCTTTTCTTCTTGTCCTTTTGCTCATTTTGAATTTGTTCCTTGTCCCTTTTAGTTGACCGTGGGATGAGTGTGTGTGTGTGTGGAGGGTTGTATTGTGGTGTTAATAGAAATGGAAGTGTTTGTTTAATTGTGGAAGGGTGAGTGTTTGAAGGTTGATCCTTGTTAATGAAATTCACCTGTTCTTCAGCAGTACTGACAGCATCAAGGCAAGTTAGAAGTTTCATTGTGGTGACACCTCAGGAACGCTCTCATGAGTAAGTGTTTGGCATTTTTTGTTCCTCACCAGCTTTAGTTCACACAGATCAGTTTCCTTCAAAAATCTGAAGATTAAATTCATTTCACCTTTCCTATTTCAAGCATTCAGAGTAAGAATAAGAATGATTACTTATTGACTTTGTGCTTCATGCCATTGGTTTATTCAAAGCTTCACAGCCACAATACTATAATTGAAATGTATATCCCAAACAGTTTGATCAAAAAACGATTTTTCTATTCAAAAAGGAATTAAAATGTTGCACTAAGGACCGGAAAAGGAAACAAGAATAAACTAACAGAAAAACAGTAAATGGGAATATGTGGTTTTTGAACCACCCCAAAACTTTGCTCTTTGTTAAAGGGCAAAGGTATCCACTGGGTTGCCTCCCAGTCAGCGCTTAGTTTAATGTTTTTAGCTAGACATGTTACTTACTTCTTAATTGGAATCAGAAAGAGGGATACTTTCCTCTTTTTCATTGAACGTTTCATCATAAT